CTTTAGAATATCTTACAGTACAAACATTACCATAATATTAAAAATGCTGGCTATGCTAGTACCACCATGTGTCTTCCAATTATCTGTATACATTTAACAAAAGCCACTATAGTCAACATGTTAGACACCCTAGCTATGTATGAACATGATAAAATCTTAACAGGAAGAGTTGTTCCAGGTATGAATAACACTCAGAGTGCCAGTTATTTGAATATTTAAACTGAAAAGCTTCCAGACAGTGGATACGGCTGAAGACAACATACAGTACCTAATGAGATCTGCTTACAGAGTGATTCTTACCTGCACTTCACTGCAGCCCACCAAGCCCCCCCAATCACCATTTTCATTCTGGGGTCAGCAGACCCTTCAAGAAAAACAGAGGGGCAAAATGGGGATCTTCAGTGGGAGAGAACTGATAAAAACTGCCACCCCCTTCCAGAGACATGTGCCCTTCCATCTTTGGAACTCAGTGGTAGGGTACAAACCACTATCTGGTATTCCTAGATCAATATACTTTTCCAGGTGTCTACAACTGAGACTTTTTGGTACTATGTGTACTTAAAAAGAGGGGTCATGAGCTACAATCAGCGGCCATTCAACTTAAAAGTTCATTATGCTGAATAAACCAAACAAGTTTGCTTTACATGTTACAGTCCTCCTTGGAAGACTGAAGAAAAAAAAATTGCACAAATCTGGTGTGGTGGTGGAAAGTGTTATCAAGTCTCAGTTGACTTATGGTGACCTCATAGGGTTTTCAAGGTAAGAGACATCCAGGGATGGTTTGTCGCTGCCTAGCCTCTATGTAGTAACCCTGGATTTCCTTGGTGGTCTCCTATCCAAATACCAACCATGGCCAACCCTGCTTAGTTTCAGAGATCTGACAATATTGGGCTAGCCCGAGGATTCTGGTTCCTTCAATGATTTAAGTAACACTAGTACTGCAAACCTCTGACTGTCTAGGATAGGGGTCTCCGGTCACTGATCTTGTGGGGCAGTTTTGGGATTTTGATGGGGATTGGGTGTCACCACAAAAATCATTGCCACAGGGGGCAATCACAAAATGGCTACCTGGGAAGCTGTATACAACCATACAGTGTTGGAAGACTGCAAGCCAAGCATCCTCTTATGATGGAGGCAACTGTTTCTGAATAGGTGGCTCCCTGCAGTTACAAAGGTGATGCCTGAGTTCTTCTGAAGCAACTACTCCAGTGAGCAGGAAAGCCAAGAAGAGATATACTGTCCAAGAAGCAATGGAAGCCAGAAAATCTACTGCCAGAAATCACTGGTCTGGGACTTTAATTCACTCACCCATCCACTCTCTCCCTTTATCATGTTTTACATGAAGAGAAAGTTGACAACCAGAGATCAGCAGAGTGGGACAAACAGTTTAGCTGTACTGATGCCTAACTGTTTAAAAAGAAGCCTACCCAGTATTTTTCCCTCAAAAGAGAAAGGTGATTTTTTTTTAATCCAAAGTAATCTATGTTTTTAAAACAGACAATTATGCCTGTCCAATATGCTAGGCTAGGACAAAATTAAAAGTAGAGGCCTTGTAACATTTTCCTGTATAAAATGAATGATATGCAAAGGCAGAAGGTTGCAATTTATCTGAACTGATACAAATGTATCAAATTTTGCAATCGAAGTTCCTCTGTTGACGTAAGCAGCTTTTACTGAGCAATGATATGAAAAAGTAAAGCTTCTCTCTGCAGTAGCCTCCAGGGCACGGCCAAGTTTATCCTCAAAAATGCACAGAACTACTGAAGGGATAGAACAGGAGCTTCCGTTTTAAAGAAAATTTGCTTCCTCAGAGAGCCCACATACCCACAGGGCCAGTATCAAGGTGGCCATAATACTAACTAACAGTTTTCAAGAAAGAAAAAATAAATTGTTACTGCTATTAAAAGCCACAAGAATTTGGTACAGTAGTTCCTTTGGTTCTTGGATAAACAAGCAGCGACCTAGGAATTTCCACTAGGGAAATGTACAGGAAAGATAGGTATGATCAGCTGAGCTGTTTGCCACTTCCCACGAGGCCCGTGTAAGTTTTGTTGATGAAGCTCTCTTCAGAAAACTGGAGGAAGGAAGTTCTAAAGCATAAAGGAAGCAGCTGTGTACATCAGATGAACAAGAGTTCTCGGTAAAGCCTCTACTAAACCATTATTACATATATTTCCAAGGTCAGGCAACATTCAGACTAAGATCTGGGAGACCCAAGTTCAAATTGTGCGATGAAAGTTGCTGGGTGACCTAGGTCCAACCTACCTCACAGGGTTGTTGAGGATAAAACTGAGGAAGTGGTAATACAATCCTTGGAGGAAAGGCAGAATAAAAAACATTACAGATTTAAGAGAGAGTTCTATCTGTAAAATGCTGCATGTATTCAAATAAAGAGCGAATTCTGAAACTAACCTCTGCAGGGAATGATCCATATGAAAGAATATGCAAGGAAAACATGTTAAGATGCAGGTTTTCCCTCATTAATATTTCTAGGGGAATCTCTCATTAATGTTCAAGATCTATTTTGATCACTTCATTGAGAAGAATACCTTGTAAAGGCAAAGGCTGTAGGCCTAGAATTGACTAGACATCCAAACAACTACAAAATATTGCTGAATGACTGCTAAAACCTACCTCATGGGAGAAAAAACACTAACAGGTCACCAACATCAGTATGATGTTTAAATAGCAGGTCCTGGAGAGGTGGCCTATGCCATAAAACCATTCAGACTGTTGGGATATTTCATGCTTTTTAAAATTTAACAGAACACTTTTGCAAAACAGTTAAAAATGCATAAGTCTACCTGAGACAGGTAATTAAGACAGAAAGTACTCAGCTTCTAACAAATGAATGCACAAATCTTTTTTAAAGATTTAAGGAGTACATAATGGACACTGGATCTGTTTTTGTAAAACAAATTCTGTGTATCAGCAGTGTTGACAGAGTAGGACTCTAGCAGCCCACAGGCAGAATTCAGTTCATGGAGGGCTGCCAGGTGGCACCAGGCAGGGTGCTCCCACCTCTGCCTTACATCACAATGTTGGGTCAACAAGAACAGATGTTGCAGCATAACTTCCCAGTCAGCTTCATGCTGGCTGAGCTGAGATATGGCTAGCCTTGAATGGCAAAGGAAAGAAAATAGGTAGAAATATGGGTAATAGCTGAACAACTGTGCATGTATCTTTTATTGCTTTTGAATTAAAAGGAAGCAACAGAGTGCTTGTTCTGCTACAAGATTTACCTATTTCTCCCTCTATTCAAAGTTAACTTTCTCTTGCAAGTCTGCTATGCTGCCATTTCTACCATCAACACGCCCACTACCACCTGTGAAGTGGCAGAAAAGGCAGGCACTGTGAGTCTGTTAGACTTTGAATGATATTTTTAGGACTAAATGAAGGAGAGTGACCCAGAAATTGCCCAGTGATCTCTGAAGGAATTAGATTATCCCACTGGTCAATTTACAGTATTTATAGACTATGTATTTATGCATACATACATTTTATACACACATATATACATTAATAATTTCCTTTGTGGGAGATACAGTACATTGGGTTTGGTTCATGTCAGGGCTCAATTTGCATTATGTCACTCTATGGATCATGGGAGTTTGTATGTAAAAGTCAGGGCAGTGAGATTATGGTCTTCAAGTCTTCTCCTAACCTATTATTCTACAATGTTGCAGCACAACAACCAACCACAACTACTTTTTAATCTGGTCATTTGTGGTATTTTTTTCTTTAACAAGGATCTGAGGTAAATATAAACCAACTTTTGCTGCCGTGGATGGAGACCCTTCATTGGCGGAGAAGCTTAATCTCTTCTTTGCCCGTTTTGATGTGGAGCCGAAGGGGACAGCCATATTACAGCCATCTGTCCATGGCGGCCCCTCCCTCAGGGTAGAAGAACATGAGGTGAGGTGAACGCTGAGGGCTGTGAATCCGAGGAAAGCGGCTGGACCTGATGGCATTACGGGATGGGTGTTGAAATAGTGTGCTGACCAGTTGGCAGGGGTCTTTACTAAGATCTTCAACCGGTCTTTACACCTGTCTATTGTTCCGTCGTGCCTAAAGTCCTCAATTATTGTTCCCCTATTTTGATCACTTCATTGAGAAGAATACCTTGTAAAGGCAAAGGCTGTAGGCCTAGAATTGACTAGACATCCAAACAACTACAAAATATTGCTGAATGACTGACAATGTGAACTGAGTGACCTACAAAGACATCAACACATGATTTTTCTCCTGGAAAGTTTAAAACTGCATTCATTCCCTAGCAAACTAGCTTATGCAGCAAGCAATGGGAAAGACCAATCTTTATATGAAATCCTGGAGAGCTACAACGAGTCAGATTATATTAGATGAGACAATGGTCAGTTACATGTCATGAATTTGTGACAGTGTAAACCTGTTTTTTCCACCACTGGGCTACATCCCTCCCTCCCTCCCTCCCTCATCTCACACAGTGACTGAAGATTTCCCAGTTTGGAAATTCTTCAGTCTAACTCCAATTTGTAGCAACACCCAGAAGCAGACATCTTAAATTGCATCTGTTTCTTCCCAAGGATTAGAAATCATGGTTTATAGAGATGAAATAAATTCTACTTTGGTGAAGCGCCTGAATTAAGATGGCACAACAAAGTGGAGATTTTTTAAGCCAGGAAATCTTCAACAGTGGCAATGAGGGTGGGGTGGGGACAGAATACGTAAGCCCCAATGCTTGACACAAGCAAACCCCAGGTTGTTTGCAATGTCTGAATGTAGTCATACAGTCACTTGCTAATTCATAAAAGCACAGAAAACAAAGCATGAGAAAGATAAAACTGTTGGTCATTTTTTACACTCAGAAAGAGTCACATCTTCATAAAAAAAGAATCACACTTCTCAAGATGTGATTGAAAAAGAAGTTTGACATTTTACTCTGTTTCTCCAGAGAAAACAAAAAGTGTATGAATTAACAGAAAAACAGTCAGCACTGTTGCCATGGAACTCATTATTACCTTCTTGGAGGAAGTCTACTTCCATGCACTTCTCAGGAATACATTCTCAGCAAGGGAACATCAAATACCATGCTCAGTTTTGTGAGGCAGCCATCAGCTGAATTAACGAGTTGCATATTTTGTTAGCTGAGATGAAAATGGAAACTTCCACCTAAAATACAGACACAGAGAGAATTCTGCTTAGCTGTTTATGAATACATCGGCACAAACAATAGAAACAATCTCCTAAAAATTAAATACTAAACAAAAGTCACTTGTATTTTTGAGTCAAACTAAAAGACTGTCAATGCTACATGGGTTTACAAGTGGCAAGACAGGGTTTGCTTTTGGCATGTACACCTGTTGACTTCTCAGAAACAAATGGGATATGAGCCATGACCACAAAGTTCTGAGTCTGCACATGCATAGGACCTGTACACACTGAACTTTCTCCTTAGTCTACTTTGGGACACTTCTTTGAGAGTGCCAAATTTATATTTTATATGCTAGATTTAAGTGAAGGAAAAGATCATTCTAAAGTCAAGCATACTTACTAAGCAAAACCAAAAGAAAAATCTTGAACCACCACTGGGCTACTTCCCTTTTACATCATTCCCTCCCAGGCTTCCCAAATACTTACTATGATTCAGCAGGGGACACAGACGTCCTCGCAGGATCATTCCTGCGGGGACAACAGATGCGCCGCACTATGCCGTCGCCAGGAAGTGACGCCAGACAACGCTCTGGCAACGGGGCTGGAAACTTGATGGTACCATCGAGTTTTCACTCCCATTGCCAGAGCGTCGCCCAGCGTCACTTCCTGGCTACTGCAGGGTGTGTTACAGGAATAAACAGTCCGGCCGGGGAGCATGTTTCCCCCGCCGGATCACGGTAAGTACTTGGGAACCCTATTCCCTCCCCACATTTTTAGAAGTAAATGTAAATGTCAACATTAAAAAAAAAACCCACACACATATTAGAACACGTTTTGCAAGTTAAAAGAACCCTACACCTAGAGCCAGGTAACCCAAGCTCAAGTCAATTACCTGTTTCTCTATTTCTATAACCTCATGTTCAAAACCTAGGGTTCCATTTTTTGTAAATGGACATGTTTGCCATTCTAACTGTAAACTTTAGTTCAAGTAAACCACTAATAATAGAATCACAGAGTTGGAAGGGGCCATACAGGCCATCTACTCCAACCCCCTGCTCAGTGCAGGATCAGCATACGGTATTCCTGACAAGTGTTTGTCCAGACACTGCTTAAAGACTGCCAGTGAGGGGGAGCTCACCACTTCCCTAGGCAGCTGATTCCACTGTTGCACAACTCTTACTGTAAAAAGGTTTTTCCTAATATCCAGCTGGTACATTCCCACCCTTAATTTAAACCTATTATTGTGAGTCCTGCCAACAGGAATAGCTCCCTGCCCTCCTCTAACTCTCTCAAGTCATACACAGTTGTACCCAAATTGGTTAGCCAGCCCCACTTGGTTGGAAACACCTGCCACTACCAGGTCAATCGACAGATTGGCGGGGGGGGGGGAGACAGGATTATTATTGTAATCACAGTTAATCTGATATAGATTTAAATCAATTATACACAGGACTAGGCCAAATCAATTACTTTATAATTCAAGTATCCTTTAGGACAAGTCAAAAATCCTGGGTATTACAGGAAGAATGTAAAGAACAGGATAACGGAACTGAAGAACTGTGCAGACTTGGCTTTACTTCTCATCACAGTGTTTTATGTCTCACACAATGAGTCATTGCTAGATGCTGTCTCCAAATTAATCAAGGATTACTGGCATCATTTAAAAGGTAACCCAATAAGTTATCACTTGAAGCAGCAAATCTGTCCTCCTCACCCATCCCCTTTCACTTCCTACTACTGATAGAATGAAAACCAGGCCTCCCTTTAAACAGAAATATGAGATAGAGATGACTGGTAATACCCCACAGCTAAAAAATAAATCACCTTTTTTTCTGGCTTGGAAGTTACACAAAGATTTTTTCAGGGGTAATGATTAAACCAACCCCCAATTCATACAACAGTAAGATATTTCATAAACAGACAACTCACAGTCACACTATACATAGCTAAAAATAGTCAGCCTTTGTATTTACATCTTTTTAATGGATAAAAACATTTATGAAAAAGCTATCTTCATATCAAATATTTTTCTAGCACAACATTTCTTTATGGACTCTTTGACCCACTCAGCACAAGAAACTAAGTTTCACATGCTGAATTCTCAGGCTCATATATAAAAATACACACATTTTCTTGACTCACAACTATAGTACTAAATCCATTATTAGAATTTCACCCTAAATGCCAAGTTTTACAAACATTAAACCAGTGTTTAAAATCACTGCCTTCAATCAGTTGCAAAATCATAACAATCTGGACTTCTGAACTGTGGCTATATTCCTTGAGATACGTTTGCTAAAGTATGAATGGAAACATTTTGTCCTCCAGTATCATAAATAAACCCTTTATAATCGGTTAAATGAACTGTGAAGGCCGGATCTCAAAAACCAGATCTTCTACTTACAACTGTAACAATATTTGAAAAATAATACATTTATAAAGATTTGAATAAGAAACAAAATAAGGCACAACATTGATTCGATTCTCTACACTAATACCCTTTGACGTTTACACATTGTCGTTTAGTGACTATATGCTGAAGAGCCGACACCACACACCAATGCCTACAAAAAGTTTAACAGTAGCAAATGCTGCAATGTCTCCTAAGCAGAAACAAAAGTGAATTGCTGTCGAAGTTACAATATTGTCAATCAAAAAGGATTTCCCAACAACTTTCTTTCCTGATTTCACAAAGAACAGTATTCCAGTGTAGTAAACAACAACATGCCCTTTTATTTTGGTTTCTAACTGAAAAATCAAGACAAAACCCTTCAGCAGAACAGCCAAGCTTGTCTGATGATGAAATACTAATAGGAAAATTCAGCATTACTGCATGCCGTTTACATATGGATGCTTCCTGTTTAATGTTCCCTCTAAGCTGTGGAGTCTCGTGAGCAAAACTTCTACTTTGTGAGCTACCAGCATTAAAGTTGTGAGCAAGCGATTTGGCTACTGCATAAATTAGTTTGCTCCGGAGCCCTCCTTCCTAAGCCAAGACAAAAATGTGTGAGCCAGAGGCTAAAAACCTGTGAGCTAGCTCACACTAACTCAGGTTAGAGGGAGACCTGTTTGAGCTAAAGTTCCTGAGAATACTACCTGTGTCTGGATTAAACTGAAATCTAAATTGAAGACTAACAAAATGTATTGAGGCAAAAATTTCATGAGTCAGAGACCAGTTCATCAGATGCAAGCTGTGACTCATGAAAGTTTATGCAGAAATATAAGTCCTTATTCTTTAAAGCACCTCTGGAGTTCTGTTTAATTACGTTGCACAGCTACCCCTCCCGAATGATTACCTGTGAATGATTACTTATGTACAAGTGTTTACTATGAAAAGTCTCATGCTTTTGCCCTGAAAATATTAGCCTGCGTTCAGTCAGCACCAAATACCAGCTAAACAGATGCACAGTTTTAGGCAATGGCAGGGTGAAATTTGGTGGACACCCATATGGTCGACTGTGTTTGGCTTATTTTTTAAAAAGAAATAATAAAACATTCCTTCCACTAAAACTTCGGGAAAATGAAAAACATTTCTACCTTCGCTTCAGAGAGCAGTTTCCCGAAAAGTGCTACATTTAAGGTTATATAGCTATTATATACTCTCCAGAAGACAAGGGGTGGGTGTGTGTGGACGGTTAAAATTTGTAATTTGGAAGAGGAGAAGCCCAATCGACCGAGCGAGCAGATTTGGAAAGAGATTACAGTAAAGTGAAACTGTGGCGGAGATGGAAAGTTCCTACCCTCCTTCTCCTGGGACTGGACTTCCTTTCAGTCCGGGTTTGTGCGTACGTTTCTTCTCACGACTTGTACTAGTGCAATAGGAAGCCTCAGATTTTCTCACTTATTACTTACTTCGCCCTCCCTTCCTTCGTAGAAGTTTTCGTCTATATTTCCAAGCCTCAGCCTCCCCTTGTTGCCAGAGGGAGGTGCACGAACAAGGGCCGTTTGAAAGAAAGGGAGGCGGGCAAAGAGGCGCTGGAGGTCCTCTCCCTACCCAGAAAGAGAAAATTCACTGGGGTCTAGGAGCCGGGGGGGGGGTCTTTCCCCACAGATTTGGGGGGGGGGAGCCAGAAATCTGTCT